AAAAAAAACAAAACAAAAACAAAAAAAAACGCGTGTAAAAGCGTCTAAATTTTGTTCGTTTATGATTTTTGCGCAACTTGCAGCGCCGAATTTTTCCAGCTTACTGTGTACATATATACATTCGATAGATTTTCATGATATTCTACGTGAATTGCCTGAATTTTGCTCTCCTCTTTTCGTATCTGTGTATGTGGCTGTAGCATAAACATATTTACGTGTAATACTGGTTATTAATGATTATACTGTTTTGTAAAGTTTATTTTTTCAATACGTCGGAAGGAGCTATTTAACGTTGTAATTATTCTTGGTGTATCTTTTAACGCGAATTCTGCTTTAAGTAAACAAAGAATTCGTACAAAAATGCAATGTTTCTCTAATGTAACGGGTGCATTCTTTAAACGACTATTTAAATGAATTTAATTCGCAAAATAATTCATGTCGATGTAATATATTATTTATACGTTAGCAGTTCGAGCACATTAAATTTAAGGGTATTATTATTACATTAGAAAAATACTTACTTGGTAAACATTATTAAAATAAACTAAAGTAAAACAGAAACAGTACTATTTAAAAATTTGCATAATCATAGCTTAAATACGTATTATTGCATGCGAATAAAATTTACATGAAATTGGTAGAAAATCTATAACGTGTATTTCATATGAATTATTACATTTCATTCGAAAGATAAGCCCATTTATACTTCGAAGAAAAATTTTTCGTATTTTTATGTTATATGCTTTGATATAGAGTTCTGTGGAAATATTAAGGAAAGTCTGTGGATACTTGCTTTTCATTCTTCGTAAATTTTTTGTAGTCGCATTTTACGAAAATCTAAAATTAAATTTGAAAAATGCAAATTCTCTATGAAAGCTTTGCAAATTTATGTAGTTTCAAATGCGAAATTCGTTTAAATGAATTGAAAATTATTCCACAAAGCATCTTCCCAAGCAAATGCGACGCTCATCGACGAAAATCTCTTACAAAAGAAGATCGGAATTTTGTTTCGCCCAATTTTGCGAATAAACGATGACAGAGAAAATGATAGAGATTGAGAGATAATCAGAGCGAGGGAGTGGCTGAGAGAGGGAGAGAGGGAGAGCAATGGCTTGTAATGAAGGAGAAACCCAACGAGTCTAAAAGCGTAGGTAAGCAGATGGCAGTCGAGTAACTAAATCGGCTGTTGTGTGTTATTATTATTCTAGTCAGCTTTAATAGCGCAATGCATAAAACTTAATAAGGATAAAATTTTGTCGGTTAAAGTGTAGTATTCACATCGAAAAAAATATATAAACTCACGCACGCGCACGCGCGCGTATTTCTAATTACGTACACGCCCGCGTTCTCGTATGCAATTAAGTGTATATACATAAACGCGCATATATGTGTGCGTGGGCGCGCGCGTGTATATGCACATTAATTCACCCGCATGGATATACATATATACACGTCGCATGTACGCGCGCGCTCACAAAAATAAAACAAACAAACAAACAAACAAACACACAAACACAAACACACACGCACATACGCACACAGGCTAAGTATATTAGTATTGGAGACGAATGGATGATATATTGCTTTTTTACGATGAAAAAGATGTTTCCATCCCAAGAGCATGCAGCGCTTATATATTAGAATGCTGTACTTTTAAGATTTGAGACGACCTTTGTGAAACAAGCGTGTACGAGTTGGTTAGTGCTAGTACGATTACGATATATTTTATAAAGTTCCACTTCGTCTCTCTATTACAATCGAAGGTGGCTGATGTTCGTTAAGGTTTCGAAGCTGCACATACTGATAAATGGCTATTGGCCTATTGGATTGTTCCGTCGATCATGAAAAAATGGCTTGCCAAGCCTTGTCAATTTGGGGTATTTTAGTCAGCTCGTAATTCGATGAATTTGAAGTCTCGTTACACGATTGTTTAAAAATAGCCAATGAAATAGTCAAGTGTTGGTCGACCATTCTTACAATGTCATGTCACAGTCATCGAAAATTATTTTGCCGTTGAACGACCACCCTTATCCATCTGACCGAGCAACGACTTATCTCTGCATTGCCAGTACGCTTTCATCTCTCTTGTTTTTCCTTCAACATCAAACGATCGATTCGCTCAAATTGTACTTACGTTGTTCGGTCGACTGACCTTTAACGATACTCCCATAAATATTTTACCACGGAAAAGCTAATCGTTACAAATATACGTAATCGCAAAGAGCAAGTTCATTATTTCCCTCATTATTCTAATAATCATATCAAGTCGTAAGCATTACTATCCACTTACACTAGCTTCGATCACAATTATTCTAATCGTGGCTCACAAGCAAAAACAAAAACAATTAAATAATCGAAAATCTTGTCTGCTCGATTTAACTCTTCCCACTCAAAAGCATAATAAATGTAAGTGTTTATTACGGATGACAGATGACAGATCTTTGACGCGCTAATCGTAAAAATGGCTCAATGCACTTGAATTTGCTCTTGCTGTTCTTGAGATTAAATTAAGTAAAGTAGCGCGAATCAATATGTCTTATGAACAATGCTCGCTCGTTTTTAAGAATTATATCGCGCCGCAACGAGTGGCGCCGATTGCCCTCGCGCAACGAAGTCTCATCGAAAATAAAATTTATTAGATATAAGTATACATATTTTTGAGCGTCGTAGTACGTAGCAAGTAATAACATTAAAAGTTAACGTTATATTTACTTGATAGAAGAAAAAGACAAAACAAAAAACAAAAGACAAAAGCAAAAGGCAAAAACAAAAAAAAAAAACAAAAACAAAAAAAAACAAAAAACAAAATAGACAACCATGCTACACCTTAAATGGAAATTAATTAAATTTTTATTATTGACAAAATTTACGCTCTCGATTCAGTTTAAGGCATCGGAATGTTAATTTCGGAAAATATTTATTGCAATTGAGAATTGCAATGAGAGAAAAGAATATTTACTTATATTTAATAAATTTTCGTCTTCGTTATGTATGCTCGCTCACTTGTATTTTAAACAAATGTACACAGTCATTATTCATTTGGATGCATTATTATTTAAACATTGGTAAAAAAAAGTACTTATGTCTCGGTTTCAATATTCTCGAACTTTCTCTATTGTGCAACTTGTGTGCAACTTCACTATTGTGCAACAAGGCTACGCTGTATTGTGCGATAATGAGACATGGAAGCTCATACGATGAATGTAGCGCCGAAAGTTATATTTTGAATTTTCAAATGTTCCCAATCACGACAGATGTATTTTCGAAATTTATAATAGATGCGGCGATATCGCTTCTACCCTTGATTTCAATCTTTCGCTCGGGGAAAAGAATTTTCGCTAATGACTCCATGCCCAAGTTTCTAAATCTATTCTTGCGGAAATAGTTATTGCAAATTGATGACTTTGATTAGGTATAACCGTGAGTGAAGCTGCCGGCATCTTAATGTATAGTGATGCATGACAGTATAATATGATGCAAACCACTTTGTTTATCATTTACGAATGCGTAAAAAAAAAAAAAATACGTTATTCATATTATAAAATTCATTTTGCGTATGGTAATGTTTTTTAAACTGCTAATCCTTCAAAGTCTAACCCATTAGTCTGGTGCTGGACATCTGAAGAGTACTTTGGAGAAAGACTTTTGTAGGATTTACAGCATACTTTTTCTTTACTTTATGTAAAAGTATATTATCTCAGTTATGTATAAGTGCCATATTTAGATGCAGAGATATTAAATTGTATGCAATGGTAATTTTAAATGAAACACTTTTTACGTGAAACTGCTAATGACAAATTTCCATATATTTTTTCCAAGATTATTCATAGATTTATTGAGTTTTTCGTAATCAGTATTTTACTATGTAAACGTTAATTAAGCTAATAATTGTATTATTTTTACATTTATTTTTCATTGATAATCAACGAATATAAGCGAAGTACTTTCTTTAAAAGAAAAAAAAAAGTAATAAATAAATAAAAATAAACAAAATAAACAAAATAAAAAAATAGATAAAAAAATCCTTTCGTTAAGATACAATTTTTTTTTTCTAAAAATTATATTATTTATATAGTTTTTATTTCATTAAATGGAATGAAAAGTTCGTTGAAATAATTAATAATTAAAAAATATGATGTAAATAAGACAAAAGATGTATTTCGCAAGGTATCAAATGGTGTAAGGCGCCGTTTCATTAATCTTACAAAATATCGATATAACTTTCGTGAAAAGCT